ACCACCGCGGGGCTCCCCGACAGATCCAAGGTGACTGTGAGCTCGTGACACCAGCACGGTGGGGACAGCCACCGTGTGCCCTGTCCCGTGAGGATGCCCGGCAGCAGGACCCGAAGTCTCAGGCGCTAAGGCCCAAGCCTGCCGCGGCTTCCTTTTAGCAAAACACCCCAGACACCGCCCCCCGCAGGTGGGGGGATGGCACCCCGCCCCTGGCCCTTCAGACCGCAGCCACCTGCACCGGGAGCAGAAGGGGACCAGACGGCCGCGTCTGGCCAGCGCACTGACCTGGAGTAGTCGCAGGCCACCTCCAGGGTGCGGGTGTCCAGCAGCAGGCCGCACCAAGGGAACAGGCAGTGGGCGGGCAGCTGCAGAGGGGCCGCCACGCCCGGGCCGTCGCCCACGGGGAAGTTCACCACCGTCTTGGGCAGGTTCGCCAGGCAGCCGTACTCGGGCACGCCGCGGACCAGGGTCCTAGGGCAGGGGCCCGCGTCAGCCTCCAGGGGGGCGGAGGTGCCGCCCGGGGTCTTGATGCTGCCTGAGACCCCGGGAGGCACCAAGGGAGCCCGGATCCGCCCTGCTGGCCTCTGGGCGCTTGTCCCCAAAGGCTCTGGTGGCTTGCCAGTGAGGAGCAACAGGGTGGCCGCCAGGGAAGGGCAGAGGCCAACAGCAGGGCATGGGGCTGAATCGGAAAGCCGGGGGGACACCAGCTGACCTTGTCCACAAGAGAACAGGGTCAACGTCCTGGCCCAACGTCCTCACAGTGACCCCCAGATGGTCCACAATGGGCCACCTCCCTGTCTGCGCTGTCCCTTCTGGCCACATGCGGCTGCTGATGTCTGACCACAGCAGGTGACTGAGGACCTGGATCTGTCTTTTGAGCTGTGATGAATTTACGTTTGCACGGCGGCTGCAGAGACTGCTGTGTGCAGGGGTGAGGCCCGGCGCGTCCTGGGCCCCGAGGATCCCCTAGGGGCAGAAGCGGGGTCTGGGAACACTGTCCAGACGAGTCTTGCAAAGCGAACTGCCCCGGGCAGTGGCACGAGCGAGGGTCTGGCCTGGCGCCACCTCCCCCAGGACAGGCGGAGCCGCAGGCTGCTGGGGTCCGCGCTCCCCGTCCGCCCGCTCCAGCCAGGACAGCACGAACTTCACGACCAAGATCGCGTGGACCCGTGTGGGCCCCAGGCCCAGCGCACCCCTGGCCAGCAAGCCCCGTTCCCTGCCTTGCCCCAGAGACGGCCACAAGGCGACTCCGCAGAGGCCGCCGCACGCCCACGTCCCTCTTGGTGTGCGCAGCCCCCAGCGAGCTGTCACCACCCCTGTCTGATGTGTCCATGCACGTAACCTCCGGCGCCGGGGACACCCGTGTCCTGACAGCACGCTGACGGCTGCGGGCCCAGCTGCCTGCCGGGGACAGGAGGCAGCAGCTTTGCACCTGGCTCCTCAGGACAGCAGGGCTGGGCTACGCGCCCACCAGAGCCGCAGGGTGTACGGCGGCAGGTGACAGCTGCTTATCATCACGTGAGTGACGGTGTGCGTGGCCCTCACCTGAGGAAGGCCTTCGCGTGCGTCAGGTGAGGAGTGACCAGCAAGAAGTCGTCCACCAGGCGGAGAAGCACCCTGTGGGGAGACGCAGGGCGCTCGGTGTCCCACTCCACGCGGACGAGGACAGCGCAGCCTCCGCAAAGGGTCTGCGACCACCTTGTGTCTGCAGCACCCGGCACCGGCGGGGACGGGGCCTGGCAGGCAGGGCAGAGCTACGCCGTCCACGCTTGGGGCCTGCCCGCCACCGCCCGCGGGCCTCCCGCAGCAAAGGGGCGGAGGGCGGCGAGAGCGAGGGCTCCGGCGGCAGTTCCTACCCGTCCCGCTGGATCCCGGGGAGCACCCTGCTCTCCATGTCTCCGTAGCACAAGCTGCACAGCAGGGTGGACAGGACCGAGCCCTGGGGGATGCCCTGGCACTGGACGTAGGACCTGGGGGAGACATGGCGAGCGGGAGGGGCCCACGTTCACGTGGCAGACACGTGTGCAGACCACACGCACCGCCCCCGCCCAGGGCACGTGAACTAGCGCCCGGCCACCAGCCACGCAGCCAAGCTCACGCGACGTGAGCCCTGTCTGTGAAGGAGGCAAGGGCACGTGAACTAGCGCCCGGCCACCAGCCACGCGGCCACGCGGCCAAGCTCACGCGACGTGAGCCCTGTCTGTGAAGGAGGCAGCGGCCCGCCCCACTCACTTGCCCCCGATCCTGATGACGTGCTCGTGCACCAGGCGCAGGAAGATGTCGAAGAGGCCGCTGCTGGGCTCGTGCAGGGAGCAGCTCTGGAGAGGCAGGCGGTGGGGGCGTGTGGGGGCGTGTGGGGGCGCGTGGGAGCATGTGGGGGCGTGTGGGGGCGTGTCGGTGGTTTGGGAGTGTTTGGGCGGGCGTGGGAAGCATTGGAAGCATGAGACGCTGCGGGCAGCTGTGGATGCGTGAGGATGAGCGAGAGTGGGCAGGGGTGTGGGCAGGGGTGGGCATGGTTGCGGGTGTGCATGAGCATGCGTGGAGGCGTGGGCGCGGGGGGCAGGGGTGGAGCGTGTGGGTGTGTGTGGGCACATGGCCATGATGTAGGCAGCAAAGTGCCGGGCGCAGGTGGTGCTTGCCCCACGCTGATGCCACCTCTGGGTCTGTCACTCTGGCTGAGCTCAGACCCATGGCCACTGACCCTGACGGCTGCGCCCCACTCTGTGACTCAGTACCAAGTGGCAGGGCCCCTGCAGGCCAAAGGAAAGGTGTCTGGAGGTCTCAGAGCCTCCCTGTGGCCAGCTGGACTGTCACGCTGGACACAGACTTGGGACTGTTCTCTGCTCACCCACGAGAAAATCGGGTTCACACCTGATGCGTTGGTCTGAGGTGGGCCTCAGGTGCACCGTGTCCAAAAGGACTGTTTTTTGGTCTCAAGATCAAAACAGGGGAGAAATGTCTCCAGCAAACCTCAGTGAAGTGGCTGCACAGAAGCCCCGAATTCGGCAAGGCGTAGGCAGAAATGCAGCCGAAGGCAGCAGCCTCCGCTGGCCGCGAAGGGTGGCCTCGCCGTGTCCCCGGCCCTCCCCTGGTGGTGACCATCGCGCTGCCCAGGCCGACCTGCTCGATGACCACGGCGTCCCTCAGCGAGCTCGTCCCTTGTAGGTGCCGCACGAACTGTCTCATGTACGGCTGCAGGTCCGTGAAGGTCGACACCTGCAGGCGGAGGGGTCAGGGCATGAGGAAGGGGGGATGGCGCCCTCCGAGCCCGGGCACCGACATGCAGAAGCCACGTCACGGGGACAGTCAGGCCCTGCCGTGCAGCCTGGGTGGGACGGGGAGGACAGGTGCGGCGGGCGGCACAGGGACAGCACCTCCGGTCCCCTCCCCCGTGACCGCCGTGCACACCAGTGAAACGCAGAGGGAAACGGCCCGGGCGGAAGCGGGGTGCATGACGCCCATGGGCTAGCGGCGGCCTCCGTCTGGGCTGCACCCCACACTCACGTGGACTTGCCCCTGGGGCCTGTCTAACCCACTGTGGGAGGTGCAGAAGGGGGGGGCATTCAGGGCCCAGGGCCACCAGAGCAGCGGGGCTGAGGGTCGGGTCCTGGGGAGAAGGGCCCGGGGGGAGCCACAGCTGAGTGGGGTCCCCCTCCAGCCCAGCGCCAGGCACTTGGGGATCCTGCTGGAGGCGGCGGCGCTGGGGCTCAGCTGAGCGTGTCCGGAGCGGCCGTTTAGGGTGGGGGCTGAGGACCACCTCTGGGCGGGGCCAATGAAGGGGCTGCCCCCCCCAGCCCGTGGTCTGAGACGCCCCTCGCGGGGGTGAGACCGCCCAGCAGGCCGACTGTCAGGAACGCATCGTCCTCTCTGGGAGAAGCGTGATGCGGAGTGAAACCTATGCTTCCAACGTCTCACAAAGGTCTGGCAGCTCGCGAAGAAACGAGGCCCAACTATGACAGAGCCGCGGAGAACCTCGCGGGCGGGGCGGCCACAGATTTCAACATCGGCAAAGACCACAGAACCAGCGCAGCTCAGAGAGGACGGGGAAGTTTGCCAGAGACCTGGATGATGAGCATGGGACCTCTGGAACCGAAAAATGCAAAGCTGGGCTTAGGGATTCAGTGAGCAGGTTTAACAGAGGATGAGAGACAGACAGAGCATTAGGGACCCGAAGGCAGGTGTGTCAGAAACCGGGACTTAAGCAGGAACAGTGGGTCAAAAACATCACGTACAGAACGAACTCAGACCCTAGACCCGAAGAAACCGACAGCGGTCGGGGCGGGTGGGGCTCACGGACAGCTCAGCCGAGACGACGGACACAGCGACTTCTCCGCTGCTAGAAACTTTTGTTCACCAAAAGGCTCCACTTGAGACTGAAAAGGTAGCACCAGCCAAGGACACAACTGCAAGACGTGTGCCTGGCAGAGGGCGCGCCCCCAGAACACACGAGGGTCGCCTACTAGTCACCCGCAAGGCCGGTGGCCAGCAGAGCCGAGGCGGGAGCCGAGCTGACCCGCCCTGGCGGGAAGGCGTGAAGGGGCGA